CTCTAGTAATATATTTACTGAGAAAAATGGTGACATGTTCAATACTTATTTTACCCGCTGTATATTGCTTTTCCTTTGCATGATAGAGCTTTAACCAGCCTTTGTGGATGGCACTGTGAACCAGAAGTGTCAAGTAATGAATACATTTACATCATTGAGGATCTATGATTTTATCAAATATATTTTTAAATTGTTACTTTTACTTTTATTTAGTTACATTCAGAATCTAAAAAATGATACTTTTACCTTGTTGTTACTAAATTAAATCTGTTTGAGCTCATCATGAAAAAATATGTTTATGCACTATAAAAAATGAAGTGTTGAATTTACTCAACCAAATCAACTGGTTCCACTAAAACTAGTAGAGTAAATATGAAGCAATATAAATATTTTCTTTAAAATAAAATAAGCATATTACTCAATTTACTCAGTAAAATCAAGAGTTTATTTTTTAGAGTGTGTAAAAATACTTTTATTTTCTCGGCAGTTTTATGACTTTAAGTACTTTTCTCATCAGTTAAGGTATTTTTACTTTTTTCAAGTACTTCACAGACCTGTGTTGTTTTTTAAACCTGAGGTGGACTCGTCTAACCTTAACACTCCAAATCCAAATCCTACATCAGGACCTAATAAGTTTTCAGATTTAGACTSGTCTTGGACAGGTGTGAGCCCCCACCTGAACAGCCTGCACCTGTGGTGACTGAATGACGGAGGTCTGAGGGGCCTGGATGACCCSTTGGACCGAAGCGGTCACAGCCGAAGGATCTCCATCTATCAACACCTGCAGCCGTGGAGAAAACCCACAAACGGAATCAGAGAAAATAAAAAAAAAACTAAAACAAGGTTGACTAAACCTCGACAGGAACATGTGAGTACCTGCGTGGAGAGACCGGCTTCACTCGGGTTCTCCTCTCCGTCCGTCACCGAGTCATTCAAACTGCTCTCCAGCTGAGATGATTCTGACGTATCCATGGTCGCCTGGGTGTACGCACGGTTCTTAACACGCGGAGCTCAAACTGACATCACACACGAACAAAAAATGTATCAGCTCTATCTGCTCATCACAGCATCACAGGAGAAACTGCTTCACTTCTGATGGACAAACTCACATTTCAGTCGAGACATTATGTTGTTTTGGTAAAACGTTAAAATGCTCAAAGCTTGTGTAGGGAATGACTCTCAGCTACCACCACAACAAATTTTAGCTTTATATCTGTAAACTGGACCGAGTTTTAGCTATTTTGTTTTGACTAAAATCCACTGACTGTGGCAGCCATCTTAAACGAGGTTGACTATAAAAATTTATCAGCTGTAGATATATATCCAGTGATTATTCCCTGAAGGTTTTATTAAATTTCACCCAGTGGTTTGTTAGATATTTTGCTAACAGACAGACAGACATAGTAGATTGTCATGTAGATTTACAGCAACATTTTAAACTAATATCTCACACAATTTGCTTAAACTCAAAATCTTGGGGTATCACTCTACCGTCATCCTGAATTTTAGGTCAATATCTGCAAAATTAACTTAAGTTATTAAATTATTTGTGTTTTTAAACTTCAGTCAGCTGTGGCGGCCGTCTTGGAGAGCTCTGGCTCCAAAAGCTAATCAGTTGTAAAAACAGATGTGGTGATTATTTCTTGAGAGTTTCGTTACATTTCTTTCTGTGGTGCAAGAGATATTTTGCTAACAGAAGGAGACGTCCGCACAAACATTCCTTTTGGCAGCAGGTGATAAAGGAGGAAAAAATAAGAAAATAAATATTTRCAGGCTAAATGCTGAGATATTTAAAATAGAGACAAATATTTACAGTTTACACACTATAATTACAGATAAGTTAATCTTCATAAAAACACTCACTTTTATTTTCAACAGTTTTAAAGTTTTTTTTTAACATGTGAGTTGCATCTGAACAGAACCACGCCTTAGTTTAAACACTTTAAAAACAATGGCAGTACATAAAGTTACAAAAGTTATAATATTCATGAATGAAATAAAAGGGTTTGCTCTTTTATTTTGAATTTTGACCTTTGTTTAAGGATGGAGCTGTGTTTCCAGGAAGTAAAACTGATGTGTTTTGTTTGTCTCAGACGCTTTATTTTGAAAAGAACTTCACTTCTTTTGTCATCATATGTTTTTACATCGCTCGGATTTGACGCAGCTCCGTCAGGAGAGAGAAAAAAAAGGTGCTGACACTTGAAGAGCCCTCAGTCTGAGGAACATTTTTCTCTCCATGTTGCTTCCTGCTCACCAAGCGGACTATAATATTTCATGAAAACTTTTCGCACCGAAGCTGCGCTTTTTTGCACATTTCTCTCCCCGTTCCGGTTCTGTCCGAACCGGCGCTGACCAAAACAATGCGACAGCCTTGCGGCGACTTACCGAAGTTTTTACGTAGTCTGACTCGTCACTAATGACAGTATGGGTGGACTGGCTGCGCCTTGCCTTCGCTCACGTAGCTCCCACGTCAGCGCTGATGATGCTGTGCCCAAAAATGTCGCCCGACGCGTCAGTTTATCGTCAAAGATGGTGTAGGTGAAGCGAGAGGATTCGCTGCGTCAGACTTCCTGGTTTGATCGGGATGAAGGTCAGAATGAACAACAAATATCTCTAATCTTCTTTTAAGTTCTTGAAACTGACAAATAAAGAGTAGCATCACCTTTATATAAATATATAATATATATAAATATAATATATATAAATGTTGTTGCATTTGAGATTTTAGTTTTGTAGAGTTTCTTACCCATGTAACTGATACTTTTCATGACCACACCACGTTAGCACTCGGCAGTGCAGCATTGAAAAACTTCAAGGTAAACTTATACTAGACAATTTAATTTTGTATAGCAATTTTTTATTATTGTTGACAAAAGTGTTAAAAATTATTGTCATTTTTAAAGTTTATAACTAAAAATTAAAATAAATATTACCGTTTTTAAGTTTGTAGCKGTTTAACAGTGCAGATAGGGCGACACCGCCCTCTTGTGGCTACAATGTGTAACTACAACAACATGGAATAAAACAAAAAAACTTCATTTATTTAGTCAAATAAATCTGCTATAATTTAGAATGACAAACGCACAGTTTTACAGAAAATAAACAAGGCAATATATAAACAAAAAGGGTATGTGTAATTATAACTGCATCATTTGTTTGCACAAGAAAACCACAGAAAAAATGGGAAGAACACAAACACCTGCAATTTAATTTTTAACATAAACAATCACATTTGATCCAATTTTACATCTTAAATTGTTTTTGTTGTTTGTACATGGTTAATTGGCAAATACCAATATTATGAAATTAAGTGATTTTATTTTCCTATAAAAATATACTTTTTTAAATTTATCTCTGACTCTTGCTGATCTCAGAGTCTCCATCTGTCCACCTGTGACRCACAAGAAGTGGTTCTGATCCAGAACTGTCCACTGTTATCAAAGAGCCCTGTCCTGCAGGGGAAGCACAATAAGACAGGTGATTTTATTTCAATTAAATGTAAAAGTGAGCCATTTTAAATAACTATTTTCTCATTTGGCCGCAGCCTTCCAGCTCTCATAAGGACTATATTTGTCATTCATCATTTCCAGAGGTTTAATCCTCTCTACTGTCAAAAGCAGAGCTGTGTTACATAACATGTCAAGTCCTAGCCTTTCCCTCCTCTGCTCTTCCTCCTGCAGCCAGAGGAAGGAGGCTCCAGATGGCCGAGCACCGGCCGCAGGAGGGGAGTCCTCGGGTGGCACAAAGGCCAGACAGCGGGGAGTCTCAGCGAGTCAGTGCCAGACGGCTCTTTAGCACAGAATTAGCCTGGGATGAACGCCGAACACAATTACACGCTGATAATACCATCAAAGAGCTGCTGGGGTCTCTGCTGGGCCCACACAGCTGAGCTGTCCTGTCAGAAACTAGAAGATTTTCAAACAGGAAAAATGCCAGCTGATGAGAACTCAGTCATTTCAAAGATAATTAATAATACTTCATAAGAATCTGATTAATTGGATCATCGTCAAAATGTCTGCAGATTATAGATGGATATTTTCATCACATTAAACCTTTTCTCACTTACAGTAAATCTTATTGTTTAACAACTTGATCCAACACAACAGCAAAAATGTTAAAACCATCAAGTCTGTCTTCAAAAAACACACAAAAAAGTTTTAAACAGACAATTTTACATCGATAAGTCTCAATAAATGAGATCTTAGACTTGGAAAATGATTTMTTTTTGAATCTGCTCAAGATAACAGATCAAATTTAGAGGTAATTTTATTTAAATCCATGGAATATTGATGAACATCCTTTAAAGTAAATAAAATAAACGAATGAATAAAAGTACCATGACTGATTTCAGTTTGTGATTTTTCCTGCAGCCTGTTTTTCTGATTTTACTGAATGTTTTTAAACTGTTGAATAAATAAACTTGTTGAAAACAATGAAATGTAACATTCACATAATAAAATAAATAATCAAATTAATCATGAGTTATGGCACATAAAATGCTTTTTTAAAAAGGAACTCAAACTGCCACCAGGTGTCATCACGACCAGCAGGTTAATTTCAGACTCATGTTTAATTAATCAGAACTTTGTTTATGAATCGAGAGCTCAAAAATGTGTCAGTTTATGCTTTTTTTTTGTATTTTTTTAAGAATTTACTCATTTTATTTCAATTTATCTGAATAAACACATAGATCTCACTCTGTCATGATTTGTATTTTGTATTTTCTCTTTTTATTTTCTGTTGTTGATGAAGGTTATAAAGAAAACAGACACCTGAACAAGAGTTTAGGAAAATATGTTGCTTTTTTACCCCCTGGTCATTTCTTGTAAAAATCTGTCACGAAGCATCAACCAAAGTAGTTTTTTTTTCTTATCTTGGTTGTTTCTTTCATGTTTTGTATAGTGGTATTAATTTATATTTTCAGATCTTCCAAGGTGCCAATTATGGAACTCTCTGTGCATTGTTGCCCAAATCAAATTCTGGAAGTGGTCATTCAACTAGATCTGTTACAAAAGGACAACTGATATTACCAACTTTTAAAAACTGTTACGGCCAGAGGTCTTTCTTCTATGTTTATACTAAAG